GGGGGGTTTTTACCCCTTTGGGGTTTCCCGGGTTGGCCTTTTTTTCCGGCGGTTGGGGGCCCGGGCTTGCAACCGGTTGGTTGCGGTTTTTGTTCCTTTGCCTTGCTTGCCCTTTGTTGGGTTCTTTTTTTTCGGGTTGTTCCGGTTGTTTCCTTGCGGGTTGGTTGGCGTTGCGGGTTGGCCCCCCCGTTGGGGTTGGCCGGGTTGGCGGGCCTTGGCCTTGCCTTGTTGTTGGCCCTTGCCTTTTTTGCGGCGTTGGTTGGGCTTGCGGGGGCGGCCGTTGGGCTTTGGCTTCTTGTTGTTTCCCCTTTTTGTTTGTTCTTTGCCGGAACTTGGCCGGATTGCCCAGGAGGGGTTCTTGCTTCCGGGGAGGTTGTTGCTTCTTCGGGGGGTTGTTTTCTTGGGGTTGGGCCTTGCGGGTTGGGTTGGCCCCAGGTTTTGGGCCTTGGCCCGTTTTCCCATTGTTTTCGGGGCTTGTTGCCCTTGGGGTTCCCAAGGGCTTGTTGGGCTTGGTTGCCCTTGGCCGTTCCCGGGGGCTTGGGGTTTTCCTTGTTGTTTTCCTTGTTCGGCAGGGCTTTTTTTGGGTTTTTGCCCTTTGTTTTGCTTCGGTTTTTTTTTTTTTCTTTGCCTTTTGGTTTTTTGTTTTTTTTTTTTTTATTTTGTTCTTAATTTTGGGTTGTTAGGCCTTGGGCGTTGCCAAGTTTTGTTTCCCCCCCGGCCCGGATTTTTTCCCGTTTTTGACCCCGGGCGGCATTTTCTTTGCTTTGGCCAAACCTTTTTTGTTTTTCTTTTGTTCCTTTTTTTAAAGGAAATTAATTGTTCTTTTTGGAAAGTTTTGGGACCCCGGGGGCCCCAGGGAAATTTGCCTTTTTGAATTCATTTTGGGGTTGGGGGGATTTTGTTCCCATTGGTTGGTTAAAGGCTTGGGTTCGGGATTGCTTTTTTTGCTTGGGCTTTCACCGGGCGGTTGGTTTTTTCTTGGGCCAGGCGTTGCCTTGGGTTGGCCCCCGGGGCCGGGGGGCGGCCCGGCCCCCTTGCATTCTTGGGGGAATTGTTCGTTTTCTTTTGCGGCCCTTTGGTTGTTGCCAGTTTTGGGGTTTTGGCCCGGGTTCCTTCGGGGGGGTTGGGGGGGCTCTTGGAGGGGTTGGTTAGGCTTTTTTTCCTTCTTTCATTTTCTTCGGCCTTGGCCGTTTGGGGGGTTCCCGGTTGGTTGGGGTTGGCGTTTTGCCGGCCTTGCTTAGGAGGGGCCCAGGGAGGATGTGGGGAGCTGCAGGCCTGTCAGGCTGGTCTCAGGGCCCAGCAAGGTTCTGGAGCAGATGATGGTGAGGGGGATGACGGGGCCCAGAGGGGACAGCTGAGGGATCCGTGTCCCTCAGTGAGTGTGGGTTTAGGAAAGGCAGGTCCTGCCTGAGCAACTTGATGACCCTTGGGCTGTGGGTGTCCCGCCCCAGTCCTGAGGGGCAAGCAGGGCATGGAATCTCCCTGGATTTGGGCAAAGCCTTTGACTCCATCTCCCACAGCACAGTCCTGGAAAAGCCGTCAGGCCAGGGCTTGGGCAGGGGCGCTCTTTGCTGGGTTAAGGACTGTCAGGATGGCCACATGCAGAGAGTGGTGGGGAATGGTGCCGCATCCAGCGGTGTGTGGTCACGAGCTGTGTCCCCTGGGCCCAGTCCTGTTCATTGTGTGTCCTGCGGGTGTGGGCAAGGGCATGCAGGGTACCCTCAGTAATAACTTTGTGATGACACCAATGTGGGTGGGAGTGCTGATTTTCTGGAGATTAGGAAGGCTCTACAGGGTGGCTGGGTAGTGTGAGGCATGTAGAATGAGGTTCAAGCAGAGCAAGGCCTTGGTGCTGCCCTTGTGTCCCAAGAAGCCCCTGCTGTGATCCAGGCTTGGGGCAGAGTGGCTGGGAATGTGCCCGGCAGGAAAGGCCTTGGGGTGCTGTTTGACAGTGGCAAAACCTGAGCCGGTGTTTGCCCAAGTGGGCAAGTGGAAGCGTGGCCTCCTGGCCTTCTGTGTCAACACTACTGTGTCCAGGAGGATTAGGCGGGTGACTGTCCCTCTGTGCTGGGCACTGGGGAGGCCACACTTCGAGTGGTGTTTCTAGGTTTTGGCACTGTATGGAAGGCTGTCGTTGGAAAGGGTTGCCAAACACTTAGAGGAGCTGCCCAGGGAGGTGGTGGAGTCACTGTTCCTTGAGGTTTTTAAGGAAAGACTGGATGTGACACTCAGTCTTCTGGTCTGCTTAAGAAAGGTGGTGATTCGTCATAGGCTGGACTCCATCTTGGAAGTATCTTCCAGTGTAATCAATTCTGTGATGATTCTATGAAAAATGAACCAAACCCCAGGCAAGAATTGACTTCTCAGAGCTGCTGATAGCTGTTCTGAGGAATTTCCTTCAGGAAGACTCACAGATGAAATCTGTTAAGAAATCAAATGGGACAAATGAGCTCTTCACTGTAAGTTTACCCATCAGCTGGTGTTTGTGATCTGGCTCCAGCTTTCCCCTCTTGTTCACAATGGTCTGAGAGGTTGATGAGTTTGGATGTGATTTGGGAGCTGCTTGTGGCTATTAAATCATAGACTCAGAGGTGATTGGGGAGACCCTCAGCTCTTCAACCCTAGTGATGGCATGAGTGATTCTGTGTGATTCTGTGTGACAGCTCTTTGTCAGAGCAGAGCCTGGAGCTGGGGACACACACCTGTCCCAGGTATCCCCATTTTGCTCCACCTGTGCTCTCTCCTGGCTTACACCTGAACCCTGCAAGTGTCAGGTGAGTTTAGAACCGTCTCTGAATTGCAACACCTGCACTCTTGCCAGGCAATATTTGGCAATAGTGTTTTTGGAAATATTCACAAAGCTCTGGGGTGCAGGTTAGTGTTATTTGCTTTGCACAGCTCAAGGATCAGGTATCCCTCTACTCACCTTCCCTACAAACACCACAGGGACATGAGCCACCAACTCTTACTGAAATGTTTATTAAGATTGAACTTCGGAACAACAGATTGGAACACAATGTCTCGTGGAGTAGAATATTTCTAAACTGATTTTTTTTCTTTTCTATGCATAAATGAAAAAAAAAATCAAGATTATACAAAAAGAACAGAAAGTGCAGAACACAATAAAACAGTTCTCATGCAACAATTTTTTAACCTTTAAACAGAAAATAAGCTCAACAGTGTAGAAATAAAAATCATACATACATTATGCCGTCTACGCACTCAAACATTCATCTGTGACATCACTTTTCTTTATCCCTTTTTCCTCATAAAACAACATTATGTGTTTAACACATGCTTATAAACATTGCTAAACTCAGCAAGAGCTATTATAGTGCCCCAACTTAATAAGTTGATAAAAAAGTAGTTGTCATATGGCCAGTTCACAAAGGAACTAAATATTCTTTTTCTTTTTTTTCTTTTTTTTTTAATTTTTTCCCCGCTATGAGATGCCTATATGCAGCTTTCTAGTAATACGAGGCATTTAGAATAAGCTGGTCATTTGGCTACTTAAAAGGGCTTAGTGTTCATGTTACATCAGACAAAATAAATTCACATTGGGAACTGCTAATTTGTTGAGAGAAAAATCTGGATTGTGGGGTAATTTATTACAATTTGGCTGTCGCTAAGGTCTGAGTAGGTGCACAGTAAATAAGGTGACACTGAGTTTGAATAAATGCTCCCAGAGCTTCACCCCAAACTTCCAAATTTAAGAATAAATGTGCCAGAGCAGGTCAAATTGAACTATGCTCTGCATTTTCCTTAAAATTTTATCAGGTTGCAAGGGCATCAAAAGCCCTTTAATTACAGCAGATACTCTCTTTAGGTGGGGATGTATTTTTCCGTCCTGGGCACCCCTTGTACTCCCAGGGGCAAGGGAAGCTGAGGTGGAAATTCAGGTGAAGCTGCTCAGGTTGAGGAACCAAACCAAACTGGTTTTCCAATTTGGAAATTGAAGAAGGTGATTTTAATTTAAACAAAAGGAAAACCTGGAACTCCTTAATGAGCAGATCACTGTGTGCAAGTGCCATGCCAGGAAAAGGAATTGAGCCTTTTATTTTCTAAGGCAGTTTCTGAACTGCTGAGCCTCAAATTCAAACCCCAGTTGGTGTTTGAGATGCTGCAGCTCCTTTGGATGCAACATGACAAGGAGAAAACTTTGGGTAATTCCACTTTTTCCAAATGACCATTTTGTGACATGCTTTACAAACGTTCAGCGTTGTCATTTAAGGAAGGAAAACAGATAAAGGACTCTCTGGAACCATAAAGTTTCTGCAAAGAAAAATAAAATTTGGTATTTCTTCCACACAGTCATCAATAACATTTCTGTGCAATATTTGGTGTCCATTACATTTATTTGGCCTATTCAAAGGAAACGAGGACAAAACAGCTGCAAAGAAAACCAACTTCTCTTTCACGACAGACACTTCAGATGCCGAAGCTGCTACATGTGCTTGGAATATCATGCAGGAGTTCATTTGTTCATTTAAATAGGATACATGTTTATAGCTGAGCTTGTCTTGCATTGGACTAGGATGAGGGAAACCTGGAAGAACTCAGTTGAAAACATAGTGGATGTACAGTGACAGCAACACACAACCACCAAAGGTATTTTGGCCCGAGCAGTGTGTGTCTGGAAATGTACAAAAACACAGAGGTACAGACACACACACATCCCTAAAAAGCCCCAAATCTCAGCACCTGCTTCCTGCACTTCACTCCTGCCCAGATGTCCCAGCTCTCCCAGGAACAAAGTCTGACTTTCTCTACCTTTATTCATAGATGTGACCTCAACCTGCATGGCTGTGAGATCTGGCAGCCAGGAAAATCCTGCTTTTCATGGTGGATACTGGAGGAAGCCAAGCTCACCCCGGACCAAGGGCAGGGGACACGTTCTTAACAATGGAAGCAAGGGTTTAATGAGGTACCTGGCAAAAAGCACCGTGGTTGCTGCTGTCCTTCCAAGTGCTGTGGGGTTCAGATCAGGTGGGAGAGGGATAAGAAAGACTCAGTCCTTGCCTATGAAGAAAACCTCATGCAGCCTGTTCCATCCTTGGGTCTGAGTGCCACCATTAGCATTGATGTGCTGGGAATATTTCAGAGCCTAGAAAAAGGCTCCAAATGAAAGGGGAAAAGGACACTGTGTGTTTCAAGAGCACAAGCCTCTGCTGGATTTACTGGCCTCCTCACTCCTGATGATGAACAACCTCTATCTTTCCACAACAACTCACAGCCAGCCCCAGCAAAACACCATATTTGTGTTATTAAAAGGCTATTTAGGCAATAAATCTCTATGAAAGTCATCAGACTAGCAGGAAGAGAAGCCAAGAGAAACTAAGAAATTATTGCTTCTGGAGTCTGAAATTGCTGTCCACAAACAGCATAGATCTCACTGGACTCATGGAATAACCCAACAGGGCCAAACCCACACTGAGCCTTTCTGAGGGGTGAAAGTTAAAGCTTCTCTGCTCTCACATGAACCACACAGTATTGTACTTCTTTAATTGTGGCAAAAAAAATCATTTCTGTATGAAAAGATAAAGTAAGGGACAGATGAAGAAATAAACCATCACCCGCTCTGCACTGAGCAGTGCTGGGGCTAGAAAGATAATTTGCACATCCAAGGAAAAGCCCTTGGGAGACCTCAGCAGGTGAAGCCAGTGTGGGGGCTTCCCAGGCTGGCCCAAGGACAGGAAAAGATGCTTTGGCTGGGGCTCCCCAAGTTAATTCTTCTGGCAACACTACAAAAACTTCAGCGCATTTACAATGAATAATTATTTCCTTTGCCTTTACCAGGGAGTGAAATCAGCTTCCTGCTGTGGCAGTGTGCGTATTCCTGCGTTATGAGCCCCATAAACAACTCCAAACACAGATTTTAACATCCAGTTCATAGAAATGGAGCCATGCCAAACACTATCTATGACAAAACTGGCCCTGCCCTGCCTTTGCTTGAAGCCTCTGGGTTTGAAATGAAAGGTCCTTCTTCCCTCCTTGCCCTTCTCTGGCTGAGAAGGCTCTATAAATATGGGTGAGCTCACTCCCAAAATGTTTTCATGTTCCCTCTGTGGGATCTGAAGTCAGAGGGAGCTTCAGCCTCTCCACCCCCTCTGCAGCTACTTGGTCAGTGTGACAGTGCAGTCAAAGAGACTTGGCTTAGAAAGTGCAATGTGGAGTAATGGAGATTTGATCCATGCTGGTCCATGGAACCCTTGGGAAAAAGGTAATGCTGACACCAGTGAGAAGATGTAGGTTTTTAAACTGTTGAAGAACCTTTCCAGCAGTAGAGATTAAAATAAGGAGTACTTGACAGTGGTTATTTAACCAAAAGCAGAATCTTCAATGAGCTTCAAAACTAAAATATTAAAGCCATTTAAAAATGTGTAACTCAGCATGTAATTTACATGAATGCCAGTTCTAGGGTGAAACACAACACTTGTCTCTCACACATGAACATCACCAGAATATATTAAATGTAACTGAGATGATAAAATTCACGGCAGAACTTCTCACAGCTGCTTTCTTCAGTAAGGTCTCACACTCTTCAGTAGTATTGCTCCCCTGGCTGAACACAGTTCACAGTACATGTTCTACGTAAGAAAATATTCACCAAAGAAAAAAAGAAAGACTTCCTCAAGACACTGGAAAAAACAAATACAACCCCTAAGTCCTGTGTGATTACATGTACTTCAGTGCTCTGTGATGTCACCAGCCTAGAAACATTGTCACCCTTGATAGCAGAGGCCATAGGCATTGACTGGAAGCCTTCAGAGAAACACACGGATGCCACCTACAAATACATCCAAACATCCACTTCTCAAAAACATGGACATTTCAAGTAATTAATTAAAAACTGCTTTTCATATTGAAATATAGCTTCTTTGTCTGAATGCCTGGTTTGCAGCATGACTGACACAGGCATTTGCAAGTCCTGGAGGAGGAGGAGTTTGAGGCAGCAGGAATCTCACACCGTGCTGTGTTTGCCTGTCCAGCACACGGATTGATGGCAGCCCGGGGGCCCAAGCCAAAACGAGTCAACAGCATCACAAACATGTCTTACAAATGACAATCGGATGTTTGTGAAACACAAGTTTTGAAAGTTGCTTTAAATGGCTGCTGGATAATGATCCAAATCTATTTCAAATCAACTTAGCATAACTCTTTCAACCTCTTTCCAGAAAAGTATCTTTGCACTGCAGCTGTGTCCTGAATCACAGAAGGGAACATGGAGGATGTGATGACAACATTGGTACAGCAGCTCAAAACAGCTCTGGCCTACAATTCCTCCAACACAGGGACAGCAACAGCAACATTTGAATTTTAAGGCCTAAAAACTGTTTCTGACACAGATTTTTATACACCCAGACTATGCCATAAAGTGACGAAGGTAGGCCTTGGGTTCTCCTTGTACTGACCCCGTGCCTTTACCTCAGCTGCTGCATTCCCAGCCAGGAGGTTAAAGGATCGTAAAAAGTGCAATTAATCAATGATTTCCTTTCCCTACGGAAGAGAATCCGCACGCCCCCTCCCACAGAGCTGACCCCAGAGGTGCCCTTTCTCCACGGCAGCTTCATCCAGAGATGATCAGGTTTAAATGCTGAGAAAACCCCCGAGTTCACCAGCATGTGAAACTCTCAGCTAAAAATTGTCACAGCGTATTCCAACGACATTCAAAAAATGCAGCACTTGTGATAAAGAAATCTATGAGTGCTGGCCACCTCTCCCAGCTGCTGCTCCTTCCATCTACAGCTGACATCCAGCACCCAGTGACACCCTTTCCTGACAAGCAGCAGATTTGGGAGTGGTTGTGAATAGTATGACTAAAAGAATTCATGGCAGTTTCTTAGAAACTGCAGTAATTGCTTTTTTTTTTTTCCTTGAAAATAATTGCAAATAAAAGGAGTCTGCAGTAATTGCACTAACAAAAACATGAAGTCTAAAATTAACGTAGCTGTCAGACCAGTAATATCATGCTCATGAAAAAAATCAATTGATGTCTAAGCATAGTGAAATCTGAAATGTTCAGACAAAAAAATGGCAAGAGACTATAGGTCAAGATAGCTTCCATTTTCTGTTAGTTTAAAAACAGCTGAAAACTTAATTTTTCTAACTGCTAATTGTATACACTGTGAGTTTCATGCAGATTAATAAAACTTATTTGAAATCTAAATGTATTCTTAATAAAAAAGTGTTCAGAAATGATGTTTCTAAATTGTAGAGAAAGCAATTAGCATCAGAGCCACCTGCTCAAACCTAGAGGAAGGACTACAGAATTTAATTTACATTTTTGCACGAAACTGCCTCTTCTTCTGCAAATTTTAGCTAAAAGTAGTGAAGGTCCTAATTTGCTTTCCTGGAAAAAAAAATCCACAACAAAAGTTCTTGATCCTGCACCTGCACTCCTTGGAATGTGGGTGAACAAGCGTCGGCGGCCTCACACGGCCGACTCGCCCTCCGGCTCCGCTGCCGCGGCTCCTTTGCGCGTCAGCTTCAGCACCGTCGGCTTCTCCGCGCCTGCGCCGCTGCCCTCGGCTTTCTCTGGGGGACCGAGTCCTTTTGGCTCTTCCTTTGGCTCTTCATTGACTTCAGGGTAAATCACCAAGAAAGTCGCTGTCAAAAAACCCAGGAAGGATCCCACCGAAGCCACCATGGGGATGACTCTGACCGTGCCGACCATGTCCACCACGCCGCCAAGCGCGGAGGCCACCAGGATCTGGGAGATGTAAACCTGACACGACAGGATGGCGCAGTCAATGCCAAACCCTCGCTTCGAGTTCCCAGGGCTGTGGTGAATGTACTGCAAAAAGACAAGAAACATGGTAGGAGATAGAACAATGGATGAAAGCAATACTTGAACACCAGAACTTTCCTCAAATTTCTCAGCCCCATGGTCAACTTCACATCATCTTTGTGCAGCACCATGACACAGCTCCAGAGCAAGAGCCTCCTTATCTGCTCATCAACAGCCTCCTCAGGACCCTGCAGCACAAGGCAGGTATTGACAGGGTCACTTCTAATCCACATCACCTCCAAGATTAGGTTTTGTAAAAATAATTTTACATGAAACATTTGGTGTTACATGAAACATTAATTCTATGATCATAGCAAGGAATCTCTGTCCCAGTCACAATTCAGGAACTTGTAATAAAACTTCCTCCTGTAATTTGTAATTCAAATGGAACAGTGGAATGACGCTGTTGGGAAGTAAAATCGTCCTTGTTTCCAGCAGAATTGTTTTGCTTTATGCATCCCCAAAATTACAGCTGCATTTCCAGACTCGCTTCAAAATCTAAGACTGTGAGAAACCTGAGTAACACTACCATACCACATCAAGACAGGAGTAACAACTAGATATATAGTACATATTCACTCCAATAATAATTTCTCTTCATCTGCCATACACAGCCAGATTGTTTTATACCTCAGCACAGGAAAAGGCAATCATGACGCCCTCTGAGCCAACTCAATGCCATGACTATCTGATTTCAGCACCAGCTCCTGCTATTTAGTATCCATTCAAGCTTTAGTACAGATCCCAACCAATAATGGGATTTAACAAATGTATTTTGCTACCATCATCTTTAGAGAAACATGGATGTTCTGCCTTGATTCACATATATACTCCTAATATTTCACACACCTGTTTTATCTCATGGTATTGTCCCAAAAGCGCATAGGGGCAGTAGGAGATGCTCATGGAGACTATTCCCATTGTGCTGATCATTATCATGGTGACGTACACATTGGGGAACATGGCCATCACTGCAGTGCCAAGGGAAAAACCCAGCGTGCCCAGGATGTAGATCACTTTTATGCTAAGGTCGTAGTTGTCCAAGTATTTCTGCAATAAGGCTGCAGAGATAAAGAATAAAACAGGAATCAGAATGGTTTGAGTTGGAAGGGGCCTTAAAGACCATACAGTTGCAATCACCCCTGCAACAGGTTGTTGAAGGAACAGGTTGAAGGAACACCTTCTACTATCCCAGGTTGCCCAAGCCCATCCAACCTGGCCCTGAACTCTTTCAGGGATGGAGCAACCACAGCTTCTCTTGGCAACCTGTGCCAGGCCTCACCACCAAAGAATTTTTTCCCGGTAACCAATCTAAATCCACTTTTTTCTGTTTGAAGCTATTTCCCCTTAGATATCAGTTTACTCACTAAAATTTTTGGGGTTGATGTGGCAATGGCAGCCCTATATCCTGTTTAGGAGGTGGATGCTCAAATTTGGGCTGTTTGACCAGCACAGCCCAGCTCTCACTGGGAACAGGATGTGTTCCTGCTTCAGAAAGAGCCCATCCCCACAGAACTGAGCTGAGCAGACATGCCTGCTATGTGCTGCAAAAGGCAGAATTTACCTTTGGCAAAAACTCTCAATTTCAGAGCCTATTGCAAGTGCAAATTATCTGCAGAATGACTTTCAGAAATACATATTTATAATTTTGATTTAAAAACAGTCTTTGAAAGAGCCCTCTTGCATATGCTTAAATATTCTACCAAGCATGATTTTAGTTTCCTGAAGGCTTGTTAAATGCCACTTGATATCCTTTGATTTAATTTTGTGCTTTATGCCGCTTAACCATCTGTTCTTATTTCCACCTCTACATTTGGAGGACCTTTTTAACATTGATTCTTGAAGAAGCCCTTCCCCTTATGACCAGAAGAAATGCTTTTCCAAAATATCCTTTACCTCAAACAAGGAGGTGGATGCCACTTGAAGCAACACTATTTCAGGAGGGCAAGGAGTTGGATGATCTTTGTGGGTCCCTTTCAACTCAGAATATGCCATAATTCACTTTTACCTTAGAAATACATGCATCAGGTGTATTCCACTGTGTGACTGCACAGTCTCTTACCTGAACAAACAGCAGCAGTAGCAGCATAAATCACTAGCCCCCAGCATCCCATCTGAACCCCAGCATTGTAGGCATGCAGCTCAGTTGAGTTTGAAGGGGCCTGCAACAGACACAAACACCAACACCACTTTGTTGTATTGAGCACATCTCAGAAACGAGGGACTCTGAGTGGGTCTGCCCATGGGAACTGCTCTCCTACCTTTGGATCACCCTGGAAGATGACCTGTCCCATGAAATCCGTATAGAACACAGCTTCAGCAATGATGGAAAACCAAGTCAGGAGGTGGCAGACGCACAGTCTCAGCAGCTCCTTGGGCATCTTTAGCATCGACAGCCACAAGAGTCTGACGGTGGTTTCGGTCTCCCCCTCTTCGCTCTCCGTGTCCCCGCTGGAGTTGGTGGTGCCGCTCTGGTTGCGGTGCCGGCAGCGCTGCCGCTGCCGTTTCTGCATGTCGTAGATGTCGTTCATGCTGCGCGAGGACTTGATCAGGACGATGGCGTTGGCCCGGCGGAAGCGGTACCGGTGGGAGCCGATCTTGCCGTAGTACGAGAAGGTGTAGGACGGCTGCCGGTAGAACATGTGCCTGCGCCGCCGCATGGAGTTGGAAGTGCTGGATTGCTTCATGCCTATTCTGGTGTGGCCGTTGAGGAACTCTTTTGGTAGGGAGCCGTTGATGTTTGGGACTTTATCTTCATTTAAACGATTATCAAGCAACATTTCCTCCTCCTTCTCATTCTCCCTGAGGAAAGCAGACAGGTGGTTGAGCTTGGACTTCATGATCTCCTGGCTCGTGTTGTGGGGAGTGTTTGGATATGAAGCATCCTGAAAAATGGAGGGTTCGATGTCATGCAGGAAAAGCAGCTCCGATTCAATTTCCAATGTGGCATCAGGCATGTGCAGAACTGAGTCACTCTTGCTTCTCACAATGTTCACCTCAAGGAACTCCATATTGAGGTCATGCTCTGACTGAACCTCATCGTGGAACATGGAAGCTCCATACGGCTCTTCCTCACTAATTACATTCAGCCGATTCAAAGGGGGGAGACTGCCACTGAATTTGGCACTGGAAAGTGTGTCTCCTTCATCATCGATTCTGTCCTGCTGAGGGTTATATTGCTCTTCTTCAATGCTAAAAAGGTGGAGAGCAACGGAGACAGAGAAAATAATGGCTGCAAAGAAAAAAAGGACTTGCTCTTGAGATTTAAAAATGCTACCCAAGAAGGTCTGTGTCCAGTCCAGCCCTCCTAACATATAACCAATTGCTCCTCCAAGACCTGTGGAACAGAAAAGAATGAGAAGTGAGTTCAGGAAAAATCAATTCAGCCACAGCCTGGTCTTCAGGAAGAATGAACAGCTGCCAAAAATGTCTCAGCTAACTCCCTACCAGCTGAAAATGCATGGATGTTCAGGGCCATGTCTTGTTCTTCGCTGTCCACCACATCCAACAAATAGGCCCGAATTGGCCCTTCGGTTGCATCGGCACAGAAGTCCAACACCACAACCCCAAGCACCGTGAGAACTATTCCAATGGGCTGCTTGTCCGGGACATCACCAATAGCCAGACCTGGGGAGAAATGGGAGAGGTACCTGAGCATCTTATTTAAAAAGGGTAAATCCCTAAGAACAAGCTCAACACCTTAAGAGAGAGGTGGCCAACACGTTCACTGCAAACACTTCTTTATGGAGGAAAATGGCAATTTCAGCTCTTTGGCACAGCATCGTGGGAGGTCTGGGACATGGATGGTTTTTATGTTCTTAAGACTGACATTTATCAAAATGTTATTTTATAAAGCATCTCTTAAACCTCTGGGAACATTGGATATTATTTGTATTCCTCCCATGTATTTTCCATCAGATACTGAAGACTGTTTTTATAAAAGACAGCCATGGTGGGAGACGGAAGCATCCAAAATGACATATTTCATCTGTCAGATACATCCACAGGTAACTGCACTGCTGGCAGCATTCCTCAAACAACGTTTAATGTGCAGTAGTTGCAGGACACCAGGATAAAGTGAAATTTAACTCCTTCATCACGCTCTTTGCTTTTCTTAAGCATTTGTATTTTCTAGACAGTTATTTTTAAGCAAAACTTTTAAGGATGAAGCAACATGGATGTATTTTGCATTGCAAAAAGCATCAGTCAGCTTCTGTTGACAGCATGAGATGAAATGCTTTTTGTCTACAGAGTAGAAAGGCAGCATTAGTGCAGAGCTGGATAATTTGTCATGAGATGAACCAGTGACAAAAGCACAAATTACTCGAATCACAGAGATTTAGAAGTTATGCAGGCGAGGCTGATAAACCATTAGTATAACCGATTAAAATGTCTGTGGAAGGAGATGAACTGGTTAAGCCACCAAAAATCATCTAAATCTCAATCACTGATTCCTGCATATTGAATCCTCATTTATACCAAGCTAAAGAAGTTTGTAAGTGTTCTAGATTCAGCTGAACCCCACAGCAGAAAACACCAACGCTGCTTTAGATCTGCTGGAAACCTGAACAGGGCAGGAGAGAACAGGAGTTGGGTAAGGTGTTCTCCTGGGACATGGCTGTACCATGATCAGTTCCCCTCCCTATGACTCCTACTGCCAGAGGCCATGTTATGAAAGAGGGTCTGATACAGTTTTTGCAGCATCTCCTGTTGTTCCAAACTGCAATCAGGATTGCAAGTAACTAGAGACTGAGGATAGGAAAGAGAAGAAGAAAAATTGACAATATTTTGTCCTGATTTTGTAGAAGACTTCAAAATCAGCCTATAAACTAAGCCTGAGGTTTGCTTGACAATATCAATGGCTTCTGATCTAAACTACTGTATGGAACTGAGAGCTTCTTATGACTGAACATCTTGTAAGAGGGTTGAAGTCTAACATCCTGCAAACATCTGGAGGAAGAGGAATAAGTCTTGGAGACACAACAACTAAATACAATTGAAGACAACTAAATACAATTAGTTATCAATTAGATATCAATTAGTTACAATTATTAGTTACAATTAGATATCAAACCATACAGTCACCCCAGGACAATGCCATATGATAACAATTCAAATAAATAATATTTATTGTTTTGAATAAATTAAAAAAGCACAAACTAAATGTCATCTACTTGAACAGTTTGTCCACTGCACTTTGCAGAGAACTGAAGCCAATCATATGGCATTCCAGTATGGCTTTAACAGACTGAGCCAAGGCAACATTCCACTCATTTCCCTCAATTAGTAGACCTGTTTCACAATAGAACTGCATCTAACCCCAAAAAAGAGAGCCAAGAGGATGTTATTAGGTGCTAAGTTCCTTTTGTTTGCATTGGTCGAATAATTTTGTAAACATTTTCCTAAGTGTACTTGCTGTCACCTCTCCTACAATAAATTTACAAAGAGATTGTAGATTAAATTTGTAGTAAACTATGTTCAAGGGAAACTATTTTTACCAGCTTTGATGGGGGCTCAGGAAAAATTATGTTCCCACATACTTTTTGATAAACAAATATTAACTGTGTTCTGGACTTTTTCAATACCGGGTCTAAGAAAAGCACAAGAAAAAGTGAAAAGATAATTTTTGAAATAATGCTGGAAACAGGATGTGTTGCCAGATATGCATTAAAGGGAAAATGGATCACAACAGGAAACATTTCCCTGTGAACAGGTTGCTACAATTTTCCCATGTCAAGGATCGACCAAATTCGTCTCGGGAGTGCAAACATTATGCTGGCAACCATTGTATTAATAACATTGTTATTAATACCAGTTACAGCTACCATTGCACAATGCTCAGCACAGTGCTGTAACTCTGAGTTCATATAATAACAGGCAAGATGGATAGAGCTCAAGTGCAGGATTGTGGAGATTTCTAATCATTTTAACATTAAATATGAAGTAAACCAAGTGCAGAACATTATCTTTACTTCCTGCATTAAAATCTCAAAGCAGGTACATTAGCAGGGGATGCATATAAGGGATTTCCTTGTTATTTACCTATCACAGAGCCATTAAGGAAAAGTGCAACTCCAAAGAGGACACCAATGCAGAGAGCAAGGATAAAAGGCCGCCGGCGGCCCCAGCTCAGCGTGCAGCGGTCACTGGCTGAACCTATGAGTGGAGTGAAGATCAAGCCCAGGATAGGGCTGAGGAACCAAGTGAGACTGTAGTATTGTTCAGGAAGACCTAAAACAAAGACAAAAATGACAGAAAGGTTATGTGGTACACACCAAACATCAGACTCTATACATGAAGTTTTGTTACAGCATTGAAAATGTTAAATTTAGGATAATTTACCTACAGTGAATTCTTCCCAACTTAAAAACTCATTTAAGATTCTTTAGCAATGGTTAAAAAAACATCTAAGGAAAGCACAGATTGTTTGCCTTTCAAATACCTGGGCAATAAGAAGGTAACAATTGCAGTATTTCTGCTACTGAGTCCTCTATTGATTTGTGGAACATAAACCCAAAGATTTTAGGATGCCTGGAAGCTGCCTGGCTGTCACACACAGCTCCCCTGCTCGACAAAGATTCAAAATTGAACATTATAGTGGTGCTGCTTTCGTCTAAGACCACCCCCACAAAAGAGTTTTTAAAGATTTAATGGTCTGAGAGTGAAGGACAGAATTTGAATGTCTTATGAAATGTCCCATTTCTAATCACAAAAGTGTTTACTTACAAAAATGAACAACAGTTCATTGCTAACAATTAGCAATTATTCATCAGCTTAGGTAAATCTAAGGTTTGCTCATCCCCATTTTGCTTTCTTGAAGAACAGAGATGACTATAGGATCAGATGGGAAGAAGTTAAAATCTACTACATAGCACTTACTAGAAAAACAACAACTTGCTAGAAATAATAATTTCTGGAGAAGAAAGAGCTCCCAAGCCCTGCTCTGCACATCCCCAGCACGGAGCAGTGGCCTGCAGATGGCAGACTGGCCACAGCAGCAGCCACGCCTGCCCCTCTGGGACCTGCCTCCCACTCGTTTATCAGCACAGGGCAGGTAACACTGACACAGGACTTAGAATAACGTTAAAAACAAAACAATCTATTTCTTGCAGTGCAACTGATGCCAACACAGAAAAACTCAGTGTCTTTTTCCCAGGAAGGAAAACCATTTATTATCCAAATCCATATTTGGTGAGCGCAAGCAGCATTTGACCTTTGCTAGCGAGATCAACCTGTACCTTGTGCTCCCTGTTCAGCACACTGAGGCGTCCATTACCAAGCAGGATTATACCAATCCCTGCCCAAAATAGCCTCTGATACAAATTTGGAAGTCTAATCTGCTGCTGTTTAAAGTAGCACCAAATCTTGACTAGAAACACTGACTTCTTCCATGAGACAGATCAGATTTTCCCAAGAGTGTTGCGCACACTCTGGTGATACAGAGATTATATTTTGGAAAACAAGCTATTTTTTGGCATAAATAATAAATTTCATCATCAGGATTCAAAATCCAGGTCTGAGGCCAAGGTCTGTGTGATTTGACCCAACTTTGGCTAATGAAAAAGCTAACAGTGATAGCTGCCCTAATGAGTCCAGAGTTATTGGAAGGGGCCTGCCCCTGCTGAAACTTCCCAACCTGTGTTTGCCATGAACCTTGTGCCACAGGGAATGGCATCGTGGTTCAGCCACCTTTCCCTGTTACAGGAAGCTGCAGGCCTGCACTGAGGCCAATACTCCATATGAGTACTTAGCATGGAACTGTTGATTCCTTTTGCACAGGATTTAGGCCCTTAGGAAAGGGCTGTTTGTACAGCTGGCACTGTGTTCACATCATGATTCAAATCGCTATCTCCTGCCTAGCTTTTGGTGATGCCTTGGCTGACATGGAATTATTAGCTGAGACATAACTCTGTGTGTTTGCATATTAGACCTAAAGCACTTGTTCAAGAAGCCATAGTGCCTCCAGACCCACAGCATTTATTTCCACCATCCAGCTTCTCTTCACAAACACTATCCTCATCAAAGATGCAAGTCAGGAAGTCAGCAATTCAAGCAGAAGTGCAAGGAAAACTTCCATCCCCCTGTGTTTTAACACTCCCTTTTACTTCACCAGGTTCAACAGTTTCCCAAGCACACTAACAGGTTCAGGCTTAACACCTCATGTTTAACTGACACCTCACCTGCTCAAAGATGTTGACACTTATCAGTGTCTGAGCTGGCTTAATGATGGGGAAGAGGAAACATTTAGTTCAAGGCAAGTAAAACTAAAGGCTGGGCATGATTCATTTAGGGTGAATGATTTTTCTGCAGGACACAGAATAAATGGCAATGCATAAATACTCATCCCATTTAGCCTGCACAGAGCCATCCTGGGAGCAGTGGTTAAGCACCCAAGGTCGCTACTGTGTGAGGCCAAGTCCCTGCAGAGTCTGCTTCAAACACAGTGAGAGGCTGCAGCTTAACCAATGTCATGGATCTTTACGGCAGTGATCACCAACATCTGGAATAACTTGATGGCGTTTCACTGCACAAGAGCTGTGTGTTGAAAGCAGACATTTCTTTTCTGAATTATGTTGTGACTCGTGAGTTATGAGCTGGGACGTCTCAATCAAGCTCATCCATCAGTAAACACTTGTGAGATGCTGGGACGGTTTTGCAGTAAATCATAGAGAGATGTTAAATAAACACAGAGGTGAAGACTGGCAAGAGCTCTGTCATCAGCCTAACAAGCCTCATCACATTTTATGTGAATAAACAACCAAATAGACATGTTTAAGTAAAAGGGACGCAAAGAGATTATCTTTAATAATCCAACATCCATTGAGACAATTTGTTTTAATGGAGACTGTGAGCAGAAACAACAAGGAAACACTGGTAGATCAGGGACACCAAGGGTTGGCACAGCTCACCGTCCCTCTGTCCTTGAAGCCACCACTTTGCCACTTTGTCTCCAGTCTGCAATGACACTTCTCTGTGGTTTAACAAAAAAAGAGTTCTGGAAACTCACAAACCATTTGAAATGATGACGTGAAATTATTTCTGCAGAGAACTAAATACAAATATTTCTCCTTCACTGTAAAACCTGCACATTTCTGAGCTGGACAGATAGGTGTTTTTAATGATTTATAGCCACAGCTAACTGTCATTAAAATGTCCTAAAATTATTTAAAAACATTCAGTACCTGACTTCAAGTACTTTCAAGATCAACTTTGCATATAATAACTCAAAATCAGATTAAGGTCTGGTTTGATTTTACAGGTCAATAAAAGGAAGGAAAAAAAGTTTTTTACCCAACCTTTGATGCATGACTAAAATTAATGAGTTTTATCTTTCCATGTGTGAGTCAGAGGAGAGAGACTGAAATGCTTTCTTGGGAAGAATTTATTTTTACTTATAGCAAAGGGTGATCTTCCTAACATCTAAGTACTATAAATAAAAGTCTAAATCTAAATATTTACAGTGAAAATGGCTTACTTTGCAGAAGACATGAATCTCAATGATTTCAGAACAGAGCCATGGATGTAGCTTTTATGGAAGGCTTAAAACCCCAAGAGCATTATGTTTCAAGATTATTTTTTAGAAAAAACACTTTGATTTTTTTTTTATTGAATTACTCATTAGCAGCCAAAATATCTATCTTTAGAAAAAGAAACCACGATAAAAATCTATACAAGAACTAAAAGCCCTATGCCAAGAAAAATGGAAGAATTTCTAAAAAGCTTTGAGTGCTCCCCCAAGTAAACAGGAAAGGGATAACTTTCAAGTGAAACACAAGCCATTCCCATAGATTGGGTAATGGCAGGAATCACTGACATGAGCACAGCCTGCTTTCTCTCTTGCTGGAGAAGCCAAGCCATGGGACTGCTTCCATAAGCTAAATGGCAGGGCCCTGATAAATTGCATTCCAAGAGTAAGCCAATAGTTTATAAAGTCATCATGTGTGTTTTACATATAGTTATGTAAAATTCCAAACTGTTACCATTTATTAAGTGATGTGTATGGCTTTACTGTAAGTATGTTAACTGTGACTTTGTCACGTCAGAATGTAGTCATTTACTCAGGTGGAAAACAAATGAGTGGGGTTAGAGAAGATTTCTGGTGGGAAGTGGGTGCACATGAAAACTAAAATCAGTACAGGAAAAAATCAATCTGCTGTTGGGAGAATATCCTCCTCAAACTAACAGACTCTTCACCTGAGCAACACAGGCAGACAGAGCAATCATTGTAGCAATAGGCAGGAAAGTGAATTATCCAGAGTTTCCTTTGGTGTTTGCTTTCTAGATCTGAAAGTTGAGATTTATAATTTATAAACTCAGTCTGCCCAGTGAACCAAATCTCTGAAGAGCTCTAGTGCCCAGAAGGGTCTTCTCTGTACAGATTTAGGTGTCATCTCTAATGTCTGTGCTGAGCATTGTTGCTGGGAAATCCCACTTTTGCAAAGTTCACAGCCATGTTTCTACTGGGAGTTTTCTAGGAAAGAGCTTTCTGAGGCACTGAGCACAACCTCCACTGTCCCATGAAGTTAGACTTCAAAAGGTACCTCACAGATGTTCTTCCTAAAATTCACCCTTCATGCTGGCAGAGTCTGCAGGACCTTCATCATTTCAACAGTAGCTTGCTTTAGTGCTAGACATTTTTATATAAATGAGAACATTCCAGACAGACAAGGACAACTCCAACCCCGAAATACTATTCTTCCTTAAAAGTGGCTGCTCTAGTTTCAGTATCTTTCATATCTGCATACATGATATGCCTATTTAGGTTGGCGTGTGTGATTTGGCAGGAGAAGCAAAAAAAAAAAAAAAAAAAAAAAAAGAGACTGAAAATTGAAATTCTTTAAGAAATTGTGTGTGTATATGTGTGTGTGTCTGTGTTTAAATAACAGAAACTCCCCTTTCCAGAAGTTTTCTGCCTCACAAGAATGACCTCCAAATAAGAAACGTTTTAAGTTCTGTCTGCAAGGGTGTTACAAAGTTGAAGAAGGTAATTGCATATCCTAATGGTTCATTTCTCTGTATATGTATGCTGCTAAACCTACAGAATGTCACCATTTTATGCAATATTTTAAAATGTGAAGACGGTTCAGAAGGCAGCTGAGGCAGCAAAGACAACAATAAGCAGAAATGTAGAGACAGAAGGAATGTTTTGACACCAAGAATTTCCTTCTGACACCCCCATCAGTGGCAAGGACTCAGCTGGGGGGGGTGCATTTTAAATAAACTTGGCTATG